CCCCCCCCCCCCCCCCCCCCCCCAAACACACAGACACTCACTTCACATTGTAAAATAAATGTGCCTTTTCATCCCTTACACATTACTACTTTGTGCTATCAATTCCCGGAAGATTGGGATAGTAATCTGTTGAAAGAAGGAGTTTCTCAATATTATCTGTTTTCTCTTCTTTCTATTTAAGTCTTGTAAGATATAACCCTTTTCTATTGATAGTAAGTATTGGATATTACATTTTACATGTTCTTGAAAGAGATCACATAATACAGATAGATAACTTTGCTTGCTGATTCCTTATTTCCTTATTACCTTTTTTTTTTGTACTTCAAAACGATGGTTTTTTGACCTTCGCAAAAGGAGCTTGTTGGGATGCATTGCAGTGTAGGAAAGCACTTATTTGAACAGAGATATGGGAGATATTTCTAGCAAATATAAACTTGGGTGCTGTGTGCTTTGGGCACTAAAAGCTCAAAATATTAGAGTATACTAAAAAGTGTGCCATTCACCCAAAGGCCACAAGCTCTTAATTTTTTTATATTTTTTTTGTCTTATATGATCTTGAATGAAAGTGGAGTTTTCTCTTTAGACCATCCTCACAATGTTTCTTCAATCTTTCTTCTATCAAACAGAACTATGTGGAAGGCATTTGGAAATTGTAAAAATAGAAGAGTTCCAATTCTCACATGGTTGAAGCCTTGAAGGCCGTAACTCGTTGCATACAAGAGAAAGTCTTCTTTTTTTTTCATTATGTTTTGGATTTGAGTTATAAATAAATATTGAGAGTGTAAAATGAAAAAGTTCCATATACCGTCAATGCACAGAACTTAAGTTCAGTGTATTTTATGTACTTAGTGAACCTCATGATATATATATGTTACAGTTTTACTGCAGTGTTTTGGAGAACTGTACTTCAAAAGTTTTGAAATACTTTAATAGATCTAAATGCTAAATCATAGGCATATTATTTATGTCTCAAAGTTGATTTACGTGGAAAGCTAAATTATCGAGTTTTTTCCTTCAATGCACACAATCCTCTTCTCTAGTCCTTTACTTTTTGTATTATTCTCTTATTGAAATAAGCTTTACTCTTACTGACATATGCTTTGATGAAACGTTAACTCCAGCGAGGTTCTAGGAGCATAGTGAAGTGTGTTGAGGTAAGTGGACAGCTAGCGTACAGATGATCAAATCAGGAGGAATTGTCTTATTAGTGATTTTGTTGGGACATTTTGTCATGATTGACACAGAGTACTACCAGAAAGATTCATATAGTCAATCCTAACTATATTTGAGAATGGAGTGTAGTTTGATGAGTCTGTTATGAATAAGTAAAAGGTTGTGTGATGTAGCTAATATTATCAGTAGGAAGATCAATGTAAGTTCAGAGAATGCTTCGCGGTATTATAACACAATAGGTTTAGTCAACTTGCAATACAAATTTCTTGATTACATGAGATTAAAGTAGAACAAGAGACAGGTCAGGATTCAGGTACATAAAGTTTCAATCATATTTCCAATCCAGTAGAGCCAATCAGCTTAGTAAGGCCAAATGTAATGGCCATAGCCATCCATCCACCAATTAAAACTCTGGCACAAGATTTCACTATAGGACTTCTGCCCAAGAAAGCACCAATTACTCCAAATGCTACCAATGCCAAGCTCACCGCTGCCACGATCACAGCAAGCCTCACCTTATGATTTGCTATGAATGCAGCAGCAAGAATTGGCACAATGGCACCCAATGAGAATGCAATACTCGAGGCTCCTGCTGCCTGAAATGGATTTGGCAGCTGTTCCTTGTTACCTTCTTCATGTTCTCGGTTCTGTCCTCCTGTTGCTTTATCTCTGTTCATTTGAGCTCGCTCTATGTCTAGTTGAGAGTACACAGAGACAAACTCTCCTATAGCCATGCTACAAGCACCAGCAAACAACCCTGCAAAGCCAGTAATAATCATGGTTTTAACGTTTTCTTGAACAGCTCCAACCCCCATCATCAAGGATGCAACTGAGACTAATCCATCATTTGCTCCTAACACAGCGGCTCGAAGCCATTGTGCTCTTTGAGAGTAGTCAAAATCCTCTTCAGAGGATTGATTTTCTTTAGGAATGGTAATTTGGACATGGTTTTGAGCCGCCATGATGAAAAGTTATAACTTGTAAGGAAATGTCAGCTAATGAAGGATTGTTTTCTTTTTGGATTGATGTTTAATGAAGACTCTGTCTTTGTTATTTATATAACTTCATTTGTAAGTCAAGAGTTTTAAATAAGTTACTTACCATATAATATCAAACTTTTAAAATGCCTTTATAAACCACTGAAATGCTACTTTTCTTTTTTTCTTCTTCTTTGTGTGTGCACTGTGTAGCTCAAAATGACCTAATTTGAAAGTTAAGAGGATTCAGATGGCTTTTTGATCCCTTTGGAGAAGGAGCTTGTGAGGATGTATTGCTGCATAGGAAAAGCACTTGCTACAATTGAGATACTTGTTACTATAAAATAAAACTAAGTGGAGTGTGCTTTAGGCACTAAGGTTTAACAAAAAAATCATAGAGTATACCAAGACTTGTGCCATTCCCACAAAGACCACAAGCCCTTCAATTATTTAATCATCATTTTTTTATAATCCAAAATAAAGATACTTTCTTTAGTCCATTGTAACTTTAAAAGACTTGCACATATCTAATTTGTCTATTCTTGAATGACCATAAAAGCCTTTAATGAACACCTAATTTCTCATCACAATGACGAACATTAATTACCTGTGATAATCTGTTTAGGATTATGGAGCATAAAATGACTGCAGAACGTAAATAAGTCTTCTTGTTAATTACTATTAATATGTTGGGATGTTAGGGTCGAACAGAGAGGAATAGTTGTAGAAGATTCAAATAACTTTATTTGGGACCGAGGTATAGTTGATTGATATATCCACCATATCTCGAATAAGTAAAACATGGAGAAAGTAGTAATAAAATTATAAATAAGAAATGAACATCCAATTGAACTAATTAAAGAATAAAAGGAAAAGTTAACAAAAGTAATACTACTACTAACTACCAACTACCCCTGAAGTAAAAGCTAAAATCTAAAGGACCAAAAAAGCAAAATAGTAATGAGTGTGCTTAATTCACCCTTGATGATGACTGCAATAGTTTTTGACTTTGCTTAGGAAAAATGGTACTTTCTTGGAGTGCACAAATCCTCTATAAAAGCAATCATCTGAAATTGTTGAAACAACTTTGCAGCATTGTGTGGATAATGAAATTCTACGCCTGAAAACGGAAGTGATCAAATCTGATACACAATTATCGTCCATCTTGATGCAAGAAGTAGTTGGAGCCATGTGCGGTGGCAAAACCACATCATCAACTGGGGATGGAGCTGCATTATAAGAAGTTGGTGAAGAAGCCATATGGGATGGCGGATCCGCATTATCAACTGGAGATGGAGATGGAGCCAGGTGAGTTGGTGGTGATGGATTTTAGGGTAACGATGCCCCCACCATCCGATTGAAGGTACATGATGATGATGATGATACCGCCACCATCGGCGCCACGCTAAAATAGAAGAAGTACCAAACAACTCCTTGCTATTTTCTGTTTTGGGTTCCGTTGCAGTGGCAGTAACTATGCCTATGCCTATGCAAATACCCAACACACATAATAATGTGCTACTGCTGCTTGATCTCGACATGTTTCAGAAAAAGATGGAATAAATTACCTGTGACTCTGTAAACGTTTCAGAAAAAGGAAGTATAATTACCGAAGGAACAAATATGAGTTGATAAAAATAGACAAAAGAATTTAAGCTACGGCAGTACTAATTCCTAATCCCTTTAAACTTGGAACATCTACTTCTACCCAAATTCTGATTCTACGTGACACTTAATTTGAGTAATATAATCCGAAATTGCGTAGATGCTCAAGTTTAAAGAAACTATCAATAATTACATTCACATCGGAGGAATTTAATCATCATACAGATTTAAAAGATTCTCCTCTGTTTCTGGAGGACTTTTATTATTTGCATTCCGTGCTCGAGATTCTACAATTTCCTTCTGAATCCCTTTAAACTTGGAACATCTCTAAATTCAGAGAATGCTTTGCGGTATTATTACACAAAACGTTAAGTCAACTTGCAGTACAAATTTCTTGATTAGATGAGATTAAAGTAGAACAAGGTACAGGCGGCCAGGAACATAAAGTTTCAATCATATTTCCAAGCCAGTAGAGCCAATCAACTTGGTAAGGCCGAAGGTAATGGCCATAGCCATCCATCCACCAATTAAAACTCTGGCACAAGATTTCACCATAGGACTTCTGCCCAAGAAAGCACCAATTCCTCCAAATGCTAACAATGCCAAGCTCACCGCTGCCACGATCACAGCAAGCCTCACCTCATGATTTTCTATCAGTGCAGCAGCTAGGATTGGCACAATGGCACCTAATGAGAATGCAATACTTGAGGCTACTGCCGCCTGAAATGGATTTGGCAGCTGTTCCTTGTTACCTTCTTCATGTTCTCGGTTCTGTCCTCTTGTTGCTTTGTCTCTCTTAATTTGAGCGCGCTCTATGTCTAATTGAGAGTACACAGAAACAAACTCTCCTATAGCCATGCTACAAGCACCGGCAAACAACCCTGCAAATCCAGTAAGCATCATGGTTTTAACGTTTTCTTGAACAGCTCCGACTCCCATCATCAAGGATGCAATTGAGACTAATCCATCATTTGCTCCCAACACAGCGGCTCGAAGCCACTGTGCTCTTTGAGAGTAGTCAAAATCCTCTTCAGGAATTTGATTTTCTTTAGGAATGGTAATTTGGAGATGGTTTTGAGCAGCCATGATGAAACGTTGTAATTTGGAGGAACTGTCAGCTAAAGGAGGATTGTTTTCTTTCTAAATTGGTGTTTAATGAAGACTCTATGTTTGTTATTTTATAGAGTTGGATGATTAAAAAGCATCAAAAGTTATAAGAAAGTTTGGTACTATAGACCATAAATGTTTTCAGGATAAATTTTAACAGTAAATGTATCAATTTTAAAAATACATCATTCCCTCCCTTTTAAAGTAGGAATTAGTTATACTTTCTTGCCAGTGTGTCACAAATTTAAATTGGCAGATGTCATAAGGATTAGTGGAGTACTACTTTTCTTTTTTCTTCTTCTTTTGTGAGGATGGATTACTGCATAGGAAAAGCACTTGCAACAATAGAGATTACTTGTTAGGAGTAGTATAAAATAAAACTAAGTGGGGTGTGCTTTACACACTAATAAGGTTAACAAAAAATATAGATAATAGTATACCAAGACGTGTGCCATTCCCACAAAGACCACAAGCTCTTCAATTGTTTAACCTTTTCTTCTAGCTAGACATCCAAAATAAAGATGAAATTACTTTCCTTAGATCATCTTAACTTTAAAATTCACTAGGTAATACCAACTTTGTAATGTTTTTTCTCTCTTTCTTCTATCAGATAAATATTATTTCCCAGTAGGCTTGCTTGTCTCAAGTAAAAGATTAATGTGCCAGGTCAAACATGGATAAATAAAAATATGCATAGAAAGAGAAACGATAAAATAGAGGTGAAGATTCAACTAAACTAATTTAAAGAATTTAATTAAAATAAGCTAAATTAATTAAGGGGGGCAAAATCCTATATAAAATAAGCTAAATGACATATAAATAAAAGTTGAATTATGCTATTGGCTTGGTAAGATTTTTGATGATGCTAAATTCACTGTTGATGGACCTCTTGGAGTGTGCAAAGATTTTGCAGCATTGCATGGATAATGGAATTTTACGGTAGATAACGGAAGTGATCAAATCTGATACACTATTATCGTCCATGTTGATACAAGAAGTTGTTGGAGCCAGTGAAACCACATCATCAACTGGGGATGGAGCTGCATTATAAGTTGGTGAAGAAGCCGGCGGAACCACATTATCAACGGGAGATGGAGTCAGGTGAGTTGGTGGTGATGGTTCTTTTGGGTGAGGACGCCCCCACAATCCGATTGAAGGTACATGATGATCCCACCATGATCTCGACATGTTTCAGAAAGAAGATTGAATAATTACTTGTGTGTTTGACAAGGAACAAATATGACTTCTGAATCCCAGAACATCTACTTCTACCAGGCCTAGAAGGACTGAGCCCACATATGTGACGAAGTACAAGATCGTTTGCGGGAAGGAGCGAATGCCTATCAAGACGAGATAAAGCTAATTTTTGGCAAAATCTATATAAGCTGAGAAGTCACTGGCACTAGCCAGAGAACTCAATGCTCTAGGGTGACCACTTTCGCCTTGCCAACCTCTAGAAACTCCAAATGCAGGCATAGACCTTTTATTTTTTTATTTACAGACAAACTTTTGGATGGTAAAATCCAAGCATTTCCTGGCTATTTACTCGGCCGCCAGATATCTCTAACACCCTTAACGAAGGTAAAATAGTCAATTTCAAAAAATTAACTTCTTTGGTATATAATTTTATTGGTATTCAGTAGTGAAGAACCTGCATCTAAATCCCAAGTTTACATGTAAACCAAAGGTTTGATTCGAACTCCACACTTTTGAAATTTTTTTACTGTTCACTTCTGCGATGTAATAAAGAATACAACTTCCAATCACCCGCAGTTTGCATATTTTGCTCACTATTACTTCATTATTTAGGTACACGATTCAATCCATATCAAACTCAGCTGTAATATCTCTAGGGTTAGGATCCCAAAAATTACTAGTCCCCAGCATCATTGGGATTTTTATATCCGTTAATTAGAACATTTCATCAAAAATGATTTTCTTTATTTAGAATTTCACCTGAAAAAAGTCCTTCCATGGAATTTTCTCAATAACCTAACATTAATATCTACTTTCCTCCTTTGCAACCTTCTTTTCATCATTGCAGCTACGCGTATCAGTTTCAAGTCTAATGTGTTTATGCAATAGCAGTCTGTAAGGTGGATCTTCACCTCTTGAACAGACCGAGAATGGCAACTTGATCATTGGGCAACCAGCTTTAATATTGTAACTTTTTGTTATATAATTACCTTTTAAGGAAGCCCTTCCGAAAATTCTCGACCGACAGGACAGAACCAGGCTGAAGAGGGGGTTTGGAAATATAAGCTTAAGCACTCTTCACAGAACAATAATCAAAAATTAACTATTAAGGAAAGGTAGTTTCTTCATATTTCATCTAAAATGAGTTTACAAATGCTAAATGAATCACCTACAGATCAAGACAAGAACGTACAAGTTTATCAAAATAAATGACTAGTCCATTTACCTGTATCTGGCAAACTACTGCTTGCACAAGCACTAGATCGAATGACAGCAATTTGTAGGCATGCTGCGATCAGGTGTTAGTTGAGGAAAAGTATCCCCATGCACATCTGACCCTGGCTCCGAGCATCTTTTCTTCCTGCTATACTTCAACAAATAGCGGTCCTCAGTAAAACCAACTTTTTCTTCACATATTTTCCTCTTTAGGCTGTTCCGCTTGTACGTAAGCAACTCAGCTTTTGAACAAGCAGAATCAACACAAGAGCCACGCTTGTTCGTTGTAACACAAGGCGGAGCCTCTGAATCAGTCTGACAAACTTTTTCCTTAAATCTTGTGCGAGAGTACACCAGAAGACATGGTGATGCATCTGAACTAGCCTTGCCAACTTCTTCCTTCAACCTTCTGCGAGAGTAAACTGTAACACGAGGTGAGGTCTCTGAACTAGTCTGGCCAACTTTTTCTTTCAACCTAGTGCGAGAATACACCATAACAGAAGGTGGGGTCTCAGAACTAGTCGGGCCAACTTTTCCCCTATACTTAGTGCGAGAGTACACCTTAAGCCTATCGCCTGTAGAATTAGGAAGAGTCTGGATTCCAGGACCACCCACATAGCTAGAATTCTTAGGGCCTAAGGTTTTTGATATTCGTGGCGAGCTGTTCATGGAACGATGCAATTGAAATGCAAATTCTGCATCATTTACATCCTTACTTACAACCTTACCCTTATTTTTACCTTTCTTGGCAACTGATTCCAATGCACTCTTAGCCAAGCCCATGGCATTTTTCGCCACGACAGCCTTTCGCAAGGTGCTATCCTTTGCTTTCAGGCCCACTACAACCTCCTTCCTTTTGCCTTCTAAGTTAGCATGTTTTGCAATTTTTTCAGATGATTTAAGATCACTACTACAAATTTGTATCTTAAGCACATCCTTCTGAATCTTTCTACAATCCCCAATTGATTTCTTAAAGAAATTTGGAACCCAACAATCTATACAAACGAAGAGTCCCGAATTTACCCCTTCTTCACTAGAAGAAAAAGACCAAGGCGCAGAATTCCCATACCTACTAACACAGTCCTTGTGAACTTGCCTTTTGCAGCTGCGGCATTTGGAACAATCAGAATCATCCGTGTTCTTGAAACAGTAAGGGCAAGTTTGGCCGGAATTGACACACCTGATGCATTTCTTGCAAAGAAGGACTATGCGCCAAAAGCTGTCTAGGGTTAGAAGGCGGTCATCGGGATCGGTGTGATTGATTCGGACACGGCAGCCATGACAATCTGACAAATTGGGAAGGTCCCTCGTGACCCTTTTAGAAAATTGATCGAACGCAGAGGATGATGATGAGGTTGAATTTGTGGACTGAATTGGAACGGAATTTTTGGGGGTTTTCGAAGGGGTAGCGGTGGCAGGTGGCGGCGGACGTGGCGGTGGATGGCGGAAAGATTGCCGGTTTTCTTGAAGGAGCGGAAGTGTCATGTTCTTCAGTAGATGTTTAGGGTTTTGCGCCATTGTAAACCGTATTTCACATCATTTTCAATGGTGGTGGGGTTCACATAAACCGGCCGGACGCAGTAATAAATCATATGATGTAAGAAAGCCGGAAATTTTGATTAATTCCTAATCAAATATTTCCTTAAACCTTCAATCTCGTAATCTTCAACTAATTATGTGCTTCAATATAATTATCGAAAATTAGCATTATAACTTATTTTCAATACTCAATGACTTGATCGAGTTAAGCCTCTGCAATAGAAATATTTGTGTTCAATTATTTATACTATCCAGACCTGGTTCTCCCCAAAATGTGTTGAGGCGCAGTAGTTGACTGGACATCTAGGGGTAAAGCACGATTTCAGTGTGGGCTGCGAAAGCGGTACCAAATCGAGGCAAACTTTGAATACTAGATATGACCTCAAAATAACAGAGGGGCAAGGTCGGCTAATGAGACGATGGGGGATAAGCCTCATCATCGAGAGGGAAAGAGCCCGGATCACTAGCTAAGGCCCCTAAATGACCGCTCAATGATAAAGGAGGTAGGGGTGCAGAGACAGTCAGGGGGTTGACTAGAAGCAGTCACCCTTGAAAGAGTGCGTAATAGCTCACTGAATAGTTCAATTCATTCTTTTGAAATTATACTTGAAAAAATTCTTACCTCATACAACTCAACAATTTGTTTTTTTGAGTTCCTAATGTATATCTAGCACAATAAGATTTGAATTTAAAGGTTTTTTATTTAATTAAGGAAGATGTGCAGATATAAAAATACAATCCAAATAGGAAAATTTGAAAGTACAGTTTGAGGAAGACGGACATTGACTTTGCCTTATGAATTTACAATTTGTAATGATTCTAACGAACATTCGTAACAGAATGAGGTGAGGAAGACATAAATTGATTGATTCCTAATCAAATATTTCTCAAATGCTTCACTCTTGATGTATTCTCAACCACAATGGAGAACGAATTTGAATGTTCCTTATTGAATTAATGAGAATGTGTAAATAAAAAATATATTTTTCAAGTGTCTTATGCCTAATATATCTCAACCACAGTTGGATATGAACTTGAAGGTTTTTTA